GTGTAAAACAAAAAACGTCGGGAAGGGCAAAGTAATTTCGCGGGTGTACTGTACTGTTGCCAAAAAACGGAGAAGAGAAACGGAGATAGCCATATCCCCTCCCCCTAGGTGGGAGAAAAGAGTTGCAAAATAACTTTTGAAGTAAGCGCCCCACCGATTAATTTAAAGGTCTACATCCTGTTCGTTTGCTTTACCGAATACTTCTTGAGTGATATGTGCGATGTCTGATTCCATCCCATAGGGCAATACAATTAAATCCCAAACGAGGCCATGGGGGGGGCGAAGGCGGAACTGGCATTGAGCACGCATCTAATCGAAGCTCACCTGTTATTTTCTCAACTTCTGCCGTAACTTCTGCAGTGAGTATGAGGGGCGGATGTAGGAAGAGTACGAATTCAGCGGCAATGGGTCCGCACTTAATGTTGTCCGCGGTAGCAAACTGTGCAATACTAAAAGGAAGGCATCGAGAAGGGCATAAAAGAGAGAGAGAACAAGTGACTGCAAAGTAAAAGGGAAGCTGAGACTGGGAAAGCCAAGCTGTTACTTATTACAGTGACTGCAAACTAGACGAAATTTATATGGAAGAATATTCAAAGTAAGCAAGAAACATGACCCGCTGCGCTCTCTACGTTTCCCTCCTCTGAATTCTCTGATAGGAATTTTTGCAGCTTTATAAACACTACCGTTTACGAGAAGACGTATTCTGAGTATGAATATTTGCTTAAATCAGTCAACTGGTCTAGCATCTCCCATGTATAAAGTTGCTTCATATTAAATGGCTGATGTAGCAGGTTGCAAATATTTAAATATACCCTTACAAAATTGCACGTATATGAAACGGCAGGTTGGCCAATTGCCGCAATGACCTCAGGCCAACCAGTAACAAATAAAAAAATGTTTCGTTCTTTTTACAAAATAACGTTCGATACCCGCTGATTTTGTCCACTGTTTCTATTTCTTTGTGCCAAGGAATAAACAATCAAAAAAATTCTGGAATTGGAAAACGCGGTTGTTGGGATCAGAAGGTGTTTTGATAATTGCCCAGGTGTGTTTTGGGTTAGATGTGAGCTGACATTGCCATGCATCAACGCCAGTTGCCAGTGTTGTTTGTCGCAGGGTCAATTTTGGATACAGTATGCCCATTTGATCACAATGTAAGTTAGATGTGATTGTCTCATACGGTTTCACCAATGATCAGCGAAAATTATCTCCAGTGAACGGACACCACACAACCACAGCCAATGCCAACGAAAACATTCCTTTTAGACGTGAGAACGGGTCGAGTCAACGGACAGTATTCGCCTGCAGACCAGCCACACAGAGCAAAGTCATGATCAGCGCAATGCCTAGTGTCCAAAACGTAACAATTTGGAAAAATTCTGCAAATGTTCCCATTTTACTATTGAGAAATTATACTGGCAAACACCTGTTTTCAGTAATTCGTCATCAGGCCAATACAATTGCAGGGATCAAAACAGTCACTCATGTGTAGTATCTAAATGGTCCTCGGGGTAGGGGGGGTTAATCAGTCATGCCGGTGTTCCTTCATCTCATGCATGCTGGCACCAGCGATTTGAGGACGTTGGGTTCGATGAGCAGGGAAGGGCGAGGGATGGATGTTCTCACGGTCGGCATGCGTTTGACTACTCTCTGTGGCTCCTTGTGGTGCGGTTTCGGATGGCGCGGGTTCGGGCGGCGTAGGATTCACTCGTGTAGTCGGTCAAGGTAGGTAAACTGCTGCTACCAGCACCTTCTGACAGCAGATTGGGCT